AGTTAAAATCCTATAGGGATTTTGTTTGGAGTTGCATTAAATCTATAGTTTACTGATGGGAGATTGACATCTTTATTGTTTTTTTTTTAAAGTCTTTCTATTCATCAAAATGGGATTCCTCTATATACTTTATTTCTGTTATTAGTTTAAATGGCTCTCTTTTTTGATTAAATATTTATTTCTAATATAGCTAAGGGCAGATTATGGTATATGTCTTACACCTAGCAACTTTCTATATTCTGTTATTATTCCTATAGTTTATCTTCAAGTTCTTTTGTATTTTCTCAGTGCTCAGTCATAACAAAATTCATTATGGTTTTGTTTGTTCCTTTCTCTTATCCCCTTTATCTTAACTGTTATTTGGGACCCTCTGAACATGGTCAATAGAGGTTATGGTGGAAGGCAGCTGGCTTGGTTGTGGTCTGCAACATCTTGAACCATCTGGCTTCCATTACTTTCTGACCTCAGGTCCATCCGGTGCCTTTCTCCTTGACTGACTCTCCCCTAACCATGCTTGCCTACTTGCTGTCCCGGAAACATGCCAGACATACTCCAGTCTTAGGGTCTTTCTTTGTATTTGTTATTCCTTGATCTGGAATGCACTTTCCCTAGATGTTTGCCAGGCTTCTTTTAGGTCTTCATTTAAATACTGCCTTTCCAATAAGGACTTTCCTAGCTACCTTTTTTTTTTTCCAAACAACTTTATTGCAACATAACTTACATATCATATAATTTGCCAAGGGGCTGGGGATATGGTTCAAGCGGTAGCGCGTTCGCCTGGTATGCGTGCGACCTGGGTTCGATCCTCAGCACCACATACCAACAAAGATGTTGTGTCCACCGAGAACTGAAAAATAAATATAAAAAAAAAAATTCTCTCTCTCTCTCCTCTCTCACTCTCTCTTAAAAAAATATATATAATTTGCCAATACAGTGTACAATCCATTCATTTTTAGTAGATTTGCCAAGTTGTGCAACTATCCTTATTAATCAGTTTTAGAACATTTTTACCACCCTATTGGTATCCCTATGCCCTTTTACTATTAATTCTTATTATCCAGGCAACTACTAATTTATTTCTATGTCTGCAGATGTGCCTATTCTGGACATTTTATATTAATGGAATCATATAGTATATGATCTTTTTTGCCTTCTTTCACAAAACAGAGGAGTTCATCTGTGCTCTGGCATGAATCAATACCTCGTTCCCATTCATCCTCTTAATAGCTGAAACCTTTTTTTCTGAATATATCACAGTGTTTATCCATTAATCAATTGATAAACAAGATGCAGCTTCCAATTTTTGACATTTTTTGTGGGAATACCAGGGATTGAACCCAGGGATGCTTAACAACTAAACTACATCTCTAACCCCTCGCTCCCATTTTTTTAAATTGAGAGACAGAGCCTCACTAAGTTGCTGAGGCTGGCTTTGAACTCAGAATCCTCCTGTCTCAGCTTCCCAAACCACTGGGATTATAGGCATGTACTACCACACCAATTTTTGATTGTTATGAGTAATCCGAGACCCCTTCTACTGTCTAATAACATACCTCCTTTCTCTGCTTTATTTTTTCCTCCTTTTCACCACCTAGCATACTACATGTTATAGTACATGTTTTGTTTATGTGTCTTGTATATTTCCATTAGAATCTGAGTTTTTTAAGGACAGAGATTCTTGTCCCATCATTGATTACTGTTTTATTTCTAAGTATTAGAACTCTGTCTGGCATACAGATGGCAATCAATAAACTTTTGCTGAATTAATAAATATAGAAGTGAATGGATGAGTTGGATGTTAACTGTTCTGTACTAAGAAATACTTTATGATTTAAGTGGCTTGATGTTTCTGGAATATTGCTATTTTTAATCTGTTCTGTGGTAGTTTGGAAACTTTTGAAGTCTTCCAGAAATCACTGAGAGTTGTAGGGCTTTTATCCCATTGGTGACTTTTTATTCATGTATTTTCTATGCTAAAATCACTCTGTCAGTGTAAAAAGGCATCTAGGTTGACATTATGGCAATATAAACATGATGACCTACTCTTTAAAAGGACCCAGCTTTCTGTCCTGCTCAGGATGGTAGTTCCTAATTAAAATCCATATTTGGGGGACATTTTTCTTGTGTGTACATATGATTTGATAGAAGAAAACTGATTGAGCTAGTAATTCAAATAAGGCTAACAGTTTTTATTAACTTAATTCCTAAAATATAATTATTAGATTTGCTTTATTGATAAAATCTCAATTTCCAAAAGTAAATGCAGTTCTAAAACATTTTTAGATAGTTTGTAAATGAGATTGTATTTAAATATGCATTAATAAGCTTACCATTTAAAGCAGTGCTTCTATATATAGTACAGGACACAGACATAATCTGGCAGTGCCTGGAAACATTTTTTGTTTTCAGAACTGAGGGATGGTGCTGCTAATATTTAGTGGATTCTGCTGGTGTTTAGCCAGAGAAGCTATTAAACGTCTTAAAATTCAAAAAATAGCCCCACAAAAAAGAATTATCCAGTCCAAGCTGTCAGTGGTACCAACATTGAGAAATCTCAGCTTTATAGAATCTATAATGTATTCTTTTCTTAATAGAATACTTATATATAGTATTGCATATGTACAATGATTTATGAAAAATAGCTCTAAAGATATATATGTGCTTATGTATACATATGTATACATATATGCACACCCCCACACAGCCTTACTCCTACACCCTTACATATCTATATGGTAAGTCACATTTATTTTATGTTTTAACTTTGTTCCCTAATATATAAAAAGTTGAAAATCTTGACTTTACCTCCTTATCCTGTGTTGTACATTATTGATGTGTAGCTTAAAGAAGACTGATGATTTTTGTATCCCTTTTGATTGCTTATTTCAGCTTATTTAGGTTTTGTAATATACTAGTTTATTATGTGTTTCATAATTTCAAGGTTTTCTTTTCTTATACGTTAAAGGTATGTTTTAGATTATCACTTTTCTAGGACTTTTTATCTCTTAGCATTCACCATTCTCTATTTTTAAGGCATATTCTTTTTTTAACTACATTTCACTTTTCTTTCTCTTTGCCTCTAACTATAGTTGCTTGTGTTCATTGTTTCAAAATATTATCTGTTTTCATATTTTGAACTACTGGTTTTTATAAATCATTAAGCTGTAAGTAGCTATTTGTGTGATGTTTAGTTTCATGTTTGTGTACATTTGAGTTTTTTATTTTGATTAACCAACAAGCTAAATTTTAATATTAGATTCTTGTGTTTCTTTAAATAATAATATTTTTCTCATTTTT